CAAGTTCTAGAGGCAAGATAAATCTACTTTTGAGCTACTTGTAATATCAAGGTTTAGACCTTGATCCTAAGAGACAGAATTATAGAACTGTGAAAATGAAATGTAGCTAGAAATACGGTAATCTGTTGACAAATGTTTCTGTCATAGTGAGGGTGTACTTACTTCAAAGGATACTACTGCACAGTACCTACAGTGTGAATATGTTTAATATTTTAAAAGTTGTACATCTGAAAAAGCTTGATCACAATGAGATTTTTAGTTGATACAAACTTTAAGATCTTTAATGGCAGCATCCAGTATACTAAGGGGATTTGATTTTAACTTTGTTTAGTCTCTTCTAGCAAGTACAGATTATTAGATTTCTCCCCATATGGGCAAATGGGTCTCAAGCTGTGAGACAGTATAGTGTTAAAAATGGAGATTTTTGGATTTGGGTTCAGATTCCAGTTCTGCTCCTTTATCAGCTTTGTGACTTCAGGGAATTTATTCTTCATCTGTAAAATAGTGTTAAGAATGCCTACTTTGTTAGCATTGTTGTGAGAATTATGTTAAACGAGCTATTGTGTGTAAAGCACTTAGCGGTGTCAAACATTGTAAGTACACGTTAAATAATAGTTACTATAAACACGTTATATATTATATGATCACCACCCCTCTGTCAGCTTGTCCTCCTGTGGTGGCTTGCATGTCACTGTGTTGCTGGAGGGTATGGCACCGGTATTTCAAATACCAGAGGGTCACCCATGGTGGACAGGTTTTAGTGGCGCTTCCAAACTAGGACAGATTAGAAAGAAAAGCCTGATGTTCTGCTTCTAAAAATTAATCAGTGAAAACCTTATAGATCACAATGGAACATTGTCCTTGCTTGCTTTGGAGCTATCATCAGGAGAGATCAGTTGCTAGAGGAGGACCTCATGTTTGGTGAAGTAGAGGGCCATCAGGGGTGAGGGAGATCCTTGGTGAGATGGATCACCACAGTAGCCACAGTGATGACCTGGGACACGCTGCCATTGTGAAGACGACGTAGGACTGAGCAGCGTTTCATTCTGTTGGACATAGTTCACCATGAGTTGGAGGCAATTCGATGGCAGCTGTCTATCTATTATAGTTTTTCAAAAAAGATGTTTATTTTTTTCAGGTAGCTTATGCTTTCAGGAATGTCATGTTGGCTGGAAAAGATATGGCACATAGAAGTTATTACTTATACATATTTGGGACTCATGAGATCACTTTAAGAGTTCCATTTTATTATCAAAGATAGTGGTTAAATAAACTTATTAATTATATGCAGATTACATAGTTCATTAGTACCAGTTGTTATAATTTCCTCAACACCATTATCATTCTTGCAAATATCCAGCAATTTGAATTAGGCAAATTCCCCCTAAGAGATGGAATTCAGTGAAATTAATGATTCAGAATTAAATTATATATGATACCTATGTGGAGCTTAAAATTTGCACGGAAGTTTGTTTCAAATATATACTTACCGAACCCCAGATGTATTCTAGACACTATCACAGGTGCTAATGATACAGAGATGAGAGACAGTTGCTGCCTTCAAGAAGCTTACAGCCTAGTAGGAAAGATAGGCCAAAAAATTAGTAACTATACTAAAAATGGTAAGTGTGGTGATAAATGTATGCCCAGGGCATTACAGGAGCATAGAACAGGGAATTATAACCATCACAAAAGGAGTTACGGAAAAAATAAACTGAGATTGATGAGGTTGTATGGAGATGATGTCACCTGAACTTTGAAAGAACACAGGTTAAGCAGGAAAGGAAGTAGACGAGTTTTCAAGACAAAGGGAATTTATAGGTTTATCTGTATAGATAACGCATTTTATCTTTAACATGAAGAAATTTGGCCGTGTGACCTTGGGCAAGTTACTTTATCTCACAAAGTTGTTTTCAGTATTAAAAAAGTAATAGATTTCTGCTTCCAGTCAAAATGGAGTAACGGGTCAGATGTGCTCGCTCATCCAAAGCAACTAAAAAAGTGGACAAAATATTTGAAACAACACCTTGCACGACAATGGACATCAAACATAAAGGACAATGATTCCTGAGACATGGGGAAAAAATTAGGTGAGCCCTACAATCGCCCTACTTTATTGCCTGGAGTAAGTTCCCAGGTAGGAAGGGGGAGCTCAGTCAGAGCTTGGTGGTCTCATGTGAAAAGATGGAGTTGGGAGAACAGGGAGGCCAAAGCTGCTGGGGTTCACAGGACAGTTTCCCAGAGAGGAGGGAACTAGAGAGAGAATGCCTTGGAGATCTGTAGACGGTCCCTCTCAAGAATTTAACAGACTATTGATCAGTGCCTATGTGTAAAAACTGTCTTTAAAATAGGAACCCTATATTACAGATTGTTGGAGGGATTAAGTATATGTCTTAACAGGTGTGTTTATCATAAACATCAGCCAATGAGAATCTTTTCTTAGGAATGGTAAACACCAAATTTTCAAGATAATGGTTACAAATGGCATGCTATGGAGGGGTCTTGTGGGCTGAGGGTCTTTAACTGTACTGTTAATATTTTACTGGATGTTGGGTACACATTAGTCTGTGTATTTTTCTGTGTCTTGAATATTTCTTGTTAAAAACTATTTTCTCATAATGTTCATACAACTCTTTTTTATAAACAATCTTTAATAAAGTGTCCAAGATTTTCCTATCAAAGGACACTGCCTACCAGGACACTGAAATGTGTGCTTCCTAATTCTTAGCTTGCTAGGACCTGCTAGTCAGAAAGTCACTTCTTCCTTGCTGTTCTAGTTATGTTGCTCCGGGAAAGCACCGGGTCTCACTGTGGGTGGTAGGTATGCAGCAGAGGGGCAGACTGTCTGCCTTGGGTTGACCTGCCCGTGGAAGGGCCATATTTGTTCTGCAGTGTTGGTTTTCATGGTGGCTTATTTCTTGTGAAAATCGCCAAATTTTATAGTCCTAGTCCTACATTTCTGCATGAAAATAATCAGTGGGAGCTGAATATCAGCTGCTTCCTTTGTCTGGGGCGTGTGGTACACAGCTCTCCACGCTTCCCGTGGCCCCCTGGTACTGATGTCAGGGTCAGCCGCCATTGATCGTAATGAATGTTTGCATTGACTGCTTGACCCCTGTAGGCATTTTAGCTTATAGCTGTTGTTAGGGATTCTCCTCAATAGATATTAGAGTGTCCTGTTGATGTTTTGCTATGATATTTTAATTTGGTATGTCATGTATTTTCAATACCGTAGTTTATATTTCTTACAAAGCCTGCTTTCATACTTTTCCCAGCAAACATTTGACCGTCCTCTTTTTGTCAACTCCTCCTTCTCTCATGTCCAGTCAGTCCTTTCATTTTGCTATTAAATATTTCTCAGCTCCGATCCATCCCGTCCACCCTCACTGCTGCTGCCCGCTCGGTCTCACCTAGCTTTTCTAATCGACCCCTAACTGGGCTCCTTGCCGCCAGTCTCCCTCACTCCTCGGTTCATTCTCAGAGGTATTGCCAGAAGGTGTTTAACAGTGCAGATCTGATCCCATCGCCCCTCTGCTTGAAGTTCTCCCAGACTCTCCGTCTGTTGTTCAGCAAGCTTTTTCTTTATGGTCCAGACAGTAAGTATTTGAGGCTTTTCTGGCCATGTGGTCCCTGTCACAAGTACTCAGCTCTGCACTTGCAGCAGGAAAGCAACCATAGGCAGTACGTAAAGAACGGGTGTGGTTGTGTTCCTATAAAACATACAAAACCAGGCAGCCGGCCCAGGGCCACAGTGTGCTCACCCCGCTCTGTGGTGCAGAAAGTTCTCTCCGCCTCCCGGCTCACCTCATGGACCTTGCCTCCATCCTCTTCCTCACAGTTCATTCAGACGCACCATTCGACTTAAACTTTTCTGAGCACGTCTTCTTTCTACATCAAATTATTTAATTCTTTCGATTCAAGTGGTGTTTTTCATGAGCAGCAAAATGTTCAAATAGTGAATTATTGTATATGAAATGGTGGTTTTCATGTATAAAAAGGTTTTCATGTTACATCCTGATACCTTTATAAATGGATTGCGAAGTAAAATCTTAAGGATTAAAACAATTTTTAACCAATCTTTCATAAAAAGATCATAACCTTGATACAATCCATGTTATATTTTGGATGCCATCAACACATAATCCAGGAATTCCAAAATGAAATCACCGGTAGGAAAATAGCAGGATTTCAGCTTCATCAGCACTGTTGGATCAGGGTTTGCCAAGGAACGATTTTAGGGCGGTTAGTAGGAACTGAAAGCGTGGCGCTCGCATAGTGTTTGGTCTTGACCACAGATGCGCTGTTGACATACAGGAAAGCAAGCGATATTTGCTTTTAGGATGAGGATTGCCTGGCTTATTGAGCGTCAGTTACTGTTGAAATTCTGATAGGTCACTTGGCATGTTCCCATATGCAAAGAAATAACACAGCTTGAGGATATGTTATTAAATGGGTTGGTTTTACCTTATTTAAAAGAAAAAAAAAAGCTTAACCAGTTGCCAGTGAGTCTATTCCAACTCATGGTGACCCCATGTATTCCAGAGTAGAACTGAACTCCATAGGGTTTTCAGTGGTTGTGACCTTTGGGAAGTAAATCGCCAGGCCTTTGTTCTGAGGCACCTCTGGGTGGATTCAAACCGCCAACCTTTGGTTAGTAGCCTTGCCCTTAACTGTTTGTTTCACGCAGGGAAAAAACAGGAGTTCTTGATGTTGTTGCTGACTGGTACAATGTTAGGTAGCAAACAAAACCTTTTCTACTAACAAAAATGAAAGAACTTAATTCTGGCGTCGTATTAATGGAAGGTGTGATTTGACTACTAAGGTAGGAAAATAGATCGGTTAGAGCTGCCGTGATGGAATGTTGTTAAGATGTGGATAGGTGTTAACACTGGTTATGAGTAACTTCTCTAAATTACCTGATTCTTGCATAATGGTGCATTAATTTGAAGTTCTGTCTGTTAAAACTGACCTGAAAATGCCTTTTTTTGGTTGTTTTTTAGCCACCAGCTGAGCAGGCCAAAGTGAGACTACAGCTGGTTCTTGAAGCTGCTGGTGAGTGTTGACAGTTAGCTCTTATTCAAGGGAAACAGTTGGGGTTACAGAAAGCCTAAGCTGATAGCATGCTTATAAGTGAGTCAAAGAGAAAAACTCCTCCTTTCATATATCCCCACAAATTTATGAAATCTAGATTATAGGTACAGCTGGATGTTAACTGAAATATTTATTGCTGCAATATAATGCTGGAAGATCATTCTTTGCCTTTTTATTTATAAAACTGGCTTCAATTTTAAGTTTTAATTTTTATTATTATTTCATGAAAACAAAATGTCTCGGCTCTTCTTTATAGGACGGAGATTGGGGTAGGAAAAGATGAATGATTGGCTTTGAATTTCCTTTTCTTGATTGCAATTACAGTCCACGTCACACATACTCTAATTCACTCCTGCCTGATTTCCCTCAGGTTATCTATGCAGGCTACTTAGTTCTGCCATATTTCAAGACAGTTACTGACTGCGGCCTTTCTTGTTGCCTCAGACTAGTTTATTTCTCAGCGGTGTAACAATGCTGTGACTTTGATTTCAGATGTCGTATTCAGATTCCTGTAGACATTAAATACTTTACCTTTTAAAAAATGTATAAGAGCCATGTTATCTTTTCTAAGGACTGATTTCATTCTGAATCTTAATATGCTCGTCAAAAATGTATGTACTTTATGCAAGTGATAGGTCGTTAAGAGAAAACTTGAGGAAGAGTTAGAATAATATCACTGAAATAGTACATATTTCTTACAATTATTTACTTTTTAAAGATCTGTAAAGAACTTATAATTTCAACTTACTGGGAAGTGAGAATTCTATTTTAACATCAAAAGTGGTTGTAGACTACCAGATGATAGTAGTTGTATTTTTAGTGTTCATCAGTTAAGAAAATACGTATGTGTGTTGATTCAGGGATCTCTTACACTGCCTCCTTGCACAACTACCCAGAGTGTCTGCAGAGTAAAGACTGGAAACACCATTATGAACGATATACTAGTTTCATGAATCACTCGTAGAAATAATTACCATGTAAGGATAAAAATTAATAAGTAAATGTTTTAATTTTGACCAGGAGTCTCTACACCCCTCCCCATTGTTAAAAATTCTTATATTTTATGCATTAATCTTATTTATTTTTATCTTTGATTACATAGAAAACATGATTTCTTCACATTTTGCCTGCAACCAGGTTTTTCATATTTTGACTCGCAAAAAAATATACTATAGGATAAAGCTAATTAGTGTGGTTCTCCATCATTTACATACTGTACATTTATTATTTAGTGGCATTTTGTTTTTTAAAAATGTTTCCAGTTCATAATTTCAGTATTGACAAACTGGTGCTTTAAAAGAAAATATTTATGTTGTCTAACCACCTAGAAAATATTTTTCCGTTAATATAGCTATGAAGAATTTCGTTTCCTACTGTTTTCTTTATCTTTTAGTGTGACTCTGAAGCGCCTTATAAAACAGATTTGTCAGTCCTCACCTCACGGTGTGTGACTTGCTTATATTGGTCACAGCTGTCACCCTCATTTTTTAATTTCACATTCTAAATTATATTAAGGATAAGGAGCTAGGTTCTGTGAATTTGAGGAGCATTTAAAATATTATGACAGTTTTCAGATTAAAAATCTTACCTTGCCCTAGAAAAGCGAGGGACAGACCTTAGCTTAGGTACAGCATTATTGATTGGATCATCTCCTTCTTTCGTAGGGAACATTTATGTTGTCTCCAGCTTTTCCCTATTATCAGCAACACTGTAATGAACATCCTCTTGAATATTGTTTTGTCCATATTTTAGATTATTTTCTTGGGATTCATTACTGTGGAAATATGCTGATGAGGTTAGAGATAATATTTTAGTGGCTTTTCATGCATTTTTCCTAGATTGTTTCATGAAAGCACTGTGCCACTTTTCACCCACCGGTTAATTCACGGTTTTTACCAGACGTAGCTTTTTGATGCCAGTTTCATGAACGTATTGTTTATAATGTGACGTAACATATTACACCACTTCGAAAAATCCAGTACTGTTTTAATGAAAACTGGTGACCTTGGAGAGGAGAGGCAGACAAATGGAGAGGGAAGAAGCAAGTTGGTAAATGCAGAACTTATTGTGAAGGTTCTAGTTTTATGTTTTGGTGATGAATTAAAAGTGTTCCTTGTATTATGAAAAATAAGCAAATGAAATAAAGGGAGAGAAGAAAAGAAGAGCTTGATTGCTAGTCTCGTGAGGCGCGCAATTAGGGTCTAGTCCAGTCCTAAAGGTGAGGGTAACTCGACAGGAGGGCCTGACAGAGTCTAGTCCTAA